CCGGACCCCCCCAGCAGCAGGGCGGCCGTTCCGGTCTCTGGCTAAGCTGGAAGTGACAGGGTCAGCCTGACTGTCCAGACTCCCAGAACGACAAGTGCAGAGTGGTGCCCGGAGCCTAGATTCCAGTCACGCCAGCAGCACGGGCGCGGCCCCGGCCTGGGCTCTGCGTCTGAGGCCGCCTCTGACCTGGCGCGGGGAAAGCCATGAGGGAAGGCTGACCGCCCCAGAGCCCACGCACCAGGGCGCACTGGCTCCTCCTTCACGCTCAGTAGCTCAAGTGCCGCCGGAAGCCACCCGCTGACTGCGGGAGGGGTTCCAGGGTGGCTTCAAACAGGTGCCCGTGTGCACTCGAGCCCAGGATCCCGGCCAACCTGAGGGCCAGGGAAGGGGACTGTGTCACGACCCCGTGTGCACTCGAGCCCAGGATCCGGCCAGCCTGAGGGCCAGGGAAGGGGACTGTGTCACGACGGGACCTGAGGCGTCTCCCACACCCACCAGTACACACACCTTTACGAGTAAAACGAAATTTAAGAGCGGGCAGCTGCGTGGTTTGTCTTTGACAAGACCGCCCTTCCGAGGTCCGAGTCCCTCACCCACTTGGCAAGGGAAACCCTCTGCTCTCCCTAGAAGCGCCGCCTCACTGCCCCACGACCACTCACACCCCTCTGCATGGCCAAGGGCAGGGTGTGTGCGGCTGGGGAGGCATGTGCCCCTTGGTCTCTGCTGGCACGTCTGCTGTGTAGCCTTGCTGTCCCAGGGCTCGGGCTGCAGCTCCTCAGTCCCAGAGAAGCTCCTGTTCTGAGCCCACATCCCACCCCCATGAAGCTGGGCCAGGTGAGCCACACAGTCCTGGGAGGACGGGCAGGGGGGCTGCAGAGCTCCCGTGGGGTGCCTGAGAGCCCCAGTGCGAACACCAGGGAGTGAGGGACACAGGGACTGATGGCAAGAACCAACCACAGGCTTCCTCAAGCTCCAGTTGCCCGCCAGCACCGACTCCCCCTGGTCCCCAACTCCTGCCCAGCAGCAGGGAGACCCCAAAGAAGACGACAGCCCCCCCCCCGTGCACTCTGACCCCTGTGGGCAGGCACCCACCCCCGTGCCCTATAGGGGGGCAGGCAACACCCCCCGTGCCCTATAGGGGGGCCCTGTGGGGAGGGCTCTCGGCAGGACACGGTCTCGCCTGGCTGCCCCCCAGCACCCCTTCAGGCAGCAGAAGTGGGAGAGGGAGCTGTGCCTGCACTGGACCCGGCCCTCCGGCACACACACTCACTCGCATGACCCGCCCTCTCTTCCGCTGACTCGTAAGGACCACCCTGGACACGGCCTCGGCCCTAAGGCCCAGCCCCTGCAGGGAAAGGGCGCCCGCCGGCACGGCACACACCTGCAGCAGCGAGATGGCGATGAAGACCCCGGCCACGATGTAGATGTTGCGCGGCAGCCAGCCCTCCAGGGCCGGGAGGCAGCCCTTGGTGAAGATGGACTCGTCCCACTTGCTCTTCAGCTGCGGGAAACGCGGCTTGAGCCTGTGCACCCACGCCCCAGGTCGGAGGGCGCGGTGGGGGCGAGCGCGGAGGCGGAGCCAGGACAGAGCCCGTTACCGTGCCCAGACGGGGCCTCCGGGACCTCCAGAGGTGTCAAGACTGGTCTGTGAGCACACCCCGAAAGCCCACATCCACGCACAGGCGGGGCTGGGGTGCCTTCAGAGGCAGAGCCTGGCCGAGGGGGTGGCGTCCCGGAGCTGGCAGCAGGGGCAGGGACCAGCTTCTTAGGGCGCGGCTCCCACAGGAGGGGACAGGGCCAGGGGCCACAACTGCCAGCTGGCTCCCTCCAGCGCTGACCCCAGCACAGACCAGGACATGCCCGGGGCTCGCCTGGCAGCAACTGGCCGGGTCCTCGATGGTCCGACACACGGCAACACTGACAGCGTGTCGACCCATCCTAAGGCCACGACAGGCTCGATCCCACGTCTCCCCCAAAACTCACACGCCCAAGCCCCAGCCCACAGCGCCTCGGAGAGCACACTTGGAGGAAGTCTTTAGGGGGGTCTATGCTAAAAAGAGGCCTCAGCAAGGACACATAGAGAAGACCCCTGGCCACACTGCAGCCTCGGACCCCAGCCTCCAGGACTATGAAGGAGAATGGGCTTTAGGCCGCCCGGTCTGCGGTGCTGTCCTGGCCACTCTGCCAAACCAGCGCGGCAGCAGGGAGATGGCTCCCGACACCTGCCGGGGCTCCAAGAAGGCTCAGAAACACAGCCCCGGGTGGGCCGGATCCCCCACACTTCCGTCCCCAAGCGCTAGGCTGGGGACTGTCGTTCCTGGGCTTGAAGTCACTGCTCACCACCACTCCCGGGGGCCGCTAGGCTCAGGAAGCAGGCGCGTGGCCTTGCTCACTGGCTCCCAGCTGGGGTGGTCCCTCTGGCTGTCCTTCCCCGGGGTCCCCGCCCCACTGCCCTGAGCTCCACCAGGTGAGCCGGGGTCACAGTCACAGCACGGGGCGCTCACCTGGGTGCGGACGTCGTAGCCACACTGCGTGTTAACGACCTTTTGCTGCAAGGAAAGCAGAAAGATTAGTCATGTCTGTCCCCCAAGAAGCCATCGATGGGTGGCTCTGGAAAAGTCTCAACTGAAACCAGCAGTGTTTGGACCCGTGCCCGCTAACGTCCCTCAGTCCCGTCGCCAGTGTGGACCCGTCCCCACTAACATGCCCGTCCCCACTAACGACCCTCAGTCCTGCCACCAGTGTGTGGACCCCACCCCCGTCCCCGCTAACGTCCCTCAGTCCCTCCGCCAGCATGCCTGTCGGGCCAGCACAGGGCAGCAGTTTCTCCGTGAGGGCCAGGCAGTGAGTCTGGGTCTCTGGGGCGACCGCCCAGCTCTGCATCCGTGGCAGGAGCATGGACCTTGGCAACACGTAAGACCATGGCTGTCTTTCTAAAGACCTCAGCAGACACTGATTCGAATCACACATCATCTCCTTGTGTCACAAAGCAAGACCGCTCCTGGGCCGGCAGGGAGTCACAGCGGCCAGCCCTGCTCGAGTGAAGCGAGCAGAGATCGCCAGCCCGGTTCCCAGCAGCCTCTGCACACGGCCGCCAACCTGGGACCCTGGGGAGCTGAGGGGATCAGTGAGACCCCACGGACTGTGCTTCTCTTTCTCTCTCCTGGAAGAAACTTTAAAGAGAAAACGTTGTCCTTGTCTTGATTAACTTCCAGCCGTTTAAGAATAGCGGACAGTGTTCCTTGTCCTCGGGCCATTCAGAAACAGGCAGGTCGGCGGGGGGGGG